TGCATGATCGCTCCGGCAAACCAGTTGCGTCGTTAGCTGGGCAATTTTCTAGTTTGAATTATTTCAGACATAACGATTTGGCGTATTATTGAAATTTTACCGCGAATATCACTAACATCATTAATATTAGTATTCCAGTGAATTACTGTTGCAACCGGCAAAACCTACACTTCGTAACGAGCAGCAACTCGTGTTGCAGCAATCTTGGGGAAAATGTTTATCCACTTTCGTCCTAGGTATTGTAGATCAGCGCTGTTCGTATAACAGGGATTAATACTTAGATCCAGAAATCAGTTCGGTTCAGAATAGGAAAATAGTTAGCGAAAACAAATTTTTGTGGCCATCGCTAGATACTGCTGATGCTCATGAAAAGTAGGACAAAATCGAGGGTTGGGAAAATGTACGCAGCTTGTGGATAAAGAAATTTTACATGTGGATGCATGTTTGTGTGCCGCAATTTGAATGCTTCAGAGATATTGAATGTAAGAAGTTCTTACTCATGTTTCACACATTTTCAAAAGAAGAACTTTGCTTGTTGATAATACAGGAGTCAAGATATTTGTGTTTGGCGAGTTACTGCAACAGAAGATTCCGCATTGGAAGTGTAAGGGAGGGTCAAACACAAAAAAATCGGAGATACTTGAAAGTTAATTACAAAATAAAAAGTATATATACACATATATAAATAAAATAATAAATGTTTTAAAACATCATTTAAAAGATCCTATCAGGACCTATTTTTAGGCGAAGCATTGTAAGCAAATACTTCGGCGTTATGTCGTGACCTAAGTCAAAAAATAACGCAAAAACTCGGTCGGGAAATATCTTCCCGTAGATCTAGGACCATGATCCCAGATCGGGAGGTAGAAAAACTAGCTTAACTATAAACATAAGGAACATCTTCCAAATCCCATTCCCATATCGGAGAATGAAAAAAAAAAAATTATCTTGCATGCGAATGGAAATTCCTTAGCAGGTGTATAAAAGTACGCCACGACGGCAGTCGGGATCCGGCTCTTGGCGTCAGCGCGCCGTCCGACTCTCCGCTTTTCGTGATTCCAGTATTTAATTTGTTCCTATTATCTGCGCGACCTTGCACGGCCCTACAAGGGCATCCTTTGTGAAATTGAAAACTTAGGCCGAAACTTCTTGCGAGGATTGTTTTGTTTGATTGCGATTTACTTGATAGCCCCGTTCGGGTATCCTTGTGGTCGTGCAACTCTTTCCAGTAAAGTAGTTCCTGTTATTAGACCTGGTTCCCGTAGATCCACCACACAAGCACATACGTATACACGCAAATCACTTGCTTCAGGTCGTCACGAAATCAAGTGCTTATCTTGCTGTTGGACCTCTCCAGCACGCCTACACATATTTTTACTAAAGCCAGAAGCAGTATCGATGAAGCTTCGTAATAATTTAGGCGCGATGAAAAATTTGCGATTTTTCTTTCCATAAAATTTTTTCCTTGTTAAAGCAATTTCGTCGGCGTTTTTAGCTTTTCATATTTCTTGCTAATGTTTAAGTGGGTAAAACCCTCTGGCAGAAATTTCTGGAACAACTCATTTTCGATTAGCAACGCGCCAATCAGTGATAACGGCGACAATAACAAAACAGCGAGAAAACGGTTCCGAAACAAGTCAAATCAGCGGTTAAATTATTTGCTAGTTTGCAAAATTGAATGCCGCCGTTGGATATAAAATTGTAGCGCACCAAACGAAACGAAACCTGTTCCCAATCATACAAGTAATAATTTTATGAAAATAAGTGCGATAGCTAGTAGTCGGCGCCACCTCCGCCGCCACTGCTTGGTACGTAATAAAAACAATTATAGTAATAACAATAATGATAATGACAATGATGATGATGATAATAATGATAATGATGAAAATAATAACACGTAAATAAAAACTTGTTGATTAACAACTTAACACGCATTGGTGATCAGCAAACAACACAGCGACTGCGCAGTTCATTACTGCCTATCTGTTTTCTAGCATTTTGATATATTACCTTGGAAATCGCGCGAAAAGTCGACAAATGCATGTGAAAATGTGCACTGTTTGTGGGAGCAGCATTAGTTTATGTACAAATAGCACATGTACAGAATTTAGGTTTATTGCGTGATTTCCGCAACATATGTCGCCTGCGCACCCCATGTTGCGCACGCCCGGAATCAGCTGTACCACTGAACTAAGATAGAACTTAAAAAAAAAAAAAAATAAATTTCCTCACAATTCACTCCATTTGAAATGGGAACAAGAAGCAACCACTTTTTGGTAGACGCTCACAAGTAAGCATGGCAACGACTCCTTGATATATGCGTAGTATCAATTTACCATAGAAACGAATGAACGAATCGCAGAGGGACTGGGCTATTTCACTGGCGGATTTGAACTTTTCGCCTTCAGCACCGGATTGGTTTAACTTGCCAAAACGCTCTGTTCGTAAGCGCTGCTTTCAGATTCAGCAGTATAAATAATCAGTAGCACCGTAATGACAATATTACTTCATAATGAATCCATATGCATTGTCTGTTCCAATCGCAAAAAAATCGTTTGCTCACGATTCGCTACCCAATCGGTTTTGGTGCATCTGTGCACAAAATCTGATTCATTAGCAGTTGTCAACAATTTACTGAGCAAGCTGCCAGCAATAAATTTAAAACATATTGTTTAAAAATATGCATTTTGGTGGATCATAAAGGAGTCCAAGACGGCTTCCCGGAGACGGAAGGGGAGAGAGGGGGGGGGGGGGGGGGGGGGGGAGGGGGGGGGGGGGGGGGGGGGGGGGGGGGGGGGGGGGGGGGG